GTGGAGCCATTACCAAACGTAGCAGGTGGGACTTTTCGAGGAAATGACTGATTTTCAAAAGGTAATTTTTGTTGTTGGCTAATTCATATTATTTGGTTTCGTAATTATATTCATATGTAGTGTAGATGTTTTAATATTCACTTAAATTCAATTTCGAATTGAAGGCTACGCCTGTTAGCCGTTCCCAAACAAGAACACTGAGCAATTAACCATTCTTAAGCATGCGGTATCTGGCATAACAAATTTCCTGAAAGGTGCATCAGAAGAACAGTTTCAAGAGAATATGAAACCCATGGAATTTGATGTCGATGATTGCTCGGCGTATAAATGCAACACGGGAAAAGACATCTTTCAGTATTTTCAAGAAATAACAATTAGGGATATGAATGCGGAGAAGTATATTTTCACTAATAAGATAGATATTTCGTAAGCAAACAACACCCCTTTATATTATGGATTAACATTTTAATTTCAAATCTAAACAGCAGCACTGCATTTACAATCATGTTTGCCAATTGTTTTTGTTCAGCCAAATGTTGGTCAAGTATGAGGGCTGGACGATCACTAGAGAAGAGATGTTAACAATTGAATATCCACACTGTTTCGAAAGCCCGGTGCGAAAAATTTCATCATTTTGTTTTCTTATTGGTGCACAAGTTCAAATAGAGTCATATGTAGTTCATTCTCTGTGTAGGTCATTGATTTGGTTGCCCTGCATGTGTCATTGAATCGGACCCCAGAAGATAGTAATAAACGCAACTGGATTTTGCCGGCATCTTTCAGTGTGAGACACATTATCATTTTAATAATTCTCCAATTTCGTCTATCAATATCTATGATCATTGCAGGGCTTGGTTGTGACGTTGCACAGCGACGACTAGCTACATCAAAGGTTCTTTCGAGATAAAGTATTCAACGGTCGTGCGGACAAATGTGTTAGTATAACATTGCCGATATCAGATTCCAGTTTTTACTGGTACATTTGTATTGTTGATATTAAAAGATCTGTTGTTACAATATGCGATACCGTATGTTCAGAAGGTACAAATAAGTCGAGGATTGAACATGCGAAGAAAGTGGTAAGAATTCTGCAACATATTCATCTCATAATGCAACTTGTTCATATTAGTATATGTAAAGTGTTAATCTTATTATGTATGTAACGTATTCATCTTATTATACAACATATTAATCTTACTATGTAACATGTTCATCTAGTATATGCAACACATTCATCTTATTATATAACATATTCACCTTATTATAGAACATATTCATCTTATTATGTAAAGTAACAAGTTCCTCTTAATTTTTAACATGTTGAATATATTATGCAACATATTCATCTCATTACACAACATATTCCTCTTATCGTGTAACTTGTTCATCTTCATTTTTAACATGTTCAACGAATTATGCAACATATTTATCTCATAATTCAACATATTCATCTTAGTATATGTAAAATATTCATATACTAAAATCTTAGTATATGTAAGTAGAGGATTCAATATGCGAAGAAAGTGGTAAGAATTATTTTGTTGATTATGATTCACTTGTAACAAGACAATATGTTCAGTAATGCTAATGCTAATGTTAAATTATTCGTGACTAGATAATGCGACTGGAGGGGATTATCGTTGCGTGGGATGGGGATGGGTTCATTCATAAAAATATTACCGACACGTACAAATATGTCATCAACCCAAATGTTCCCCAACTACGGAATGAGTACGGACATTAGTCATTTAAAGCAACTGACAGAACATATTTGTTGTACTTTTCTAACTTTTAATTAGTTATTCGGCAGATATGATTGTGGTCTCTATGTGTGTATTCATATGTTATGTCATTCCACTCCATCTACAGATTTAATTTGGCGTGGACTTAAAGAGGTAATTACCCTGTCATTAGCAAGTATCTTTTAATTGCACATTACAATGATAATTTTATTTTTTATTTTTATTTTTTTTAAAGGATGAATCAATTGAAGCAAGGAAGAGGGTGGCTGCCACTCTTTACACAACCAAATACAACCAAATTGGAAGAGGATACGTAACACGTTTCCTGAACCGTTCACTATTTCTTTAAATTGTTATCAATCAATATTTTAATGTTGCAACATGTTGTATGTCTGCATGTATTTTCGTAGGGCT